ATTCTGGCAACCTTCTTTTTCTTTATTCTAACAACATTCTTTTCTCTCTTTAAAAACAACAACAAAACAAATTCTAGTTCACGAAAGCCTTCGCTCAGGACAAGAACTGATGTCAAGCTCTGTTCCCTTGAAATTTGGATAACATTTTAAATTTGTCATTTCAAATGTGAACACTGAAGTCAAATCCATGGCTTGGAATTTTCAGTTTGTATCCGTTTAGCAAGGCATTCTACAGCGTTTGCTTTCAGCACATCTTACAGCTTGCTCTGTGAAAGCCTGAATTAAAAATATGTTAGCTCATCAGTCATTTGAGTCTGGAAACATTTAAATAATTAAGCTCCAAACCCAGTCAGCAAGTCAGCACCAGAGAATGCTCATGACCCTGGAGATGTCCCGGGCTCTGTCCACTCTGCTTCAATAGATCCAAAGACTCCCCCAGAGCTCAGTAAATGTGGCACAACCCCTCCTCCCCACCTAGTGGGATGAAACCCTCCATTTCAGTTTTATACTGAACAAAACTAGTATAGCTACCTCCATCCTTCACCTAATTATCCTTTAGTGTGTCATTTGACATACGTCCCTGAGCTCATATATATTTTAGAGGTCATCATATCATTGCACTTATTACCAAGCAACATCATTCCTTGGCCATCTATATTTTGCATCAAATGCGTCACACCTGATGAAGGTTCCTAGATTTGTTCTTACTACAAGAGTCTAAAATTGGCTTGCTTCTAAAACCTGCTCTGAGAATGTAATAGAAAAAGACCTGTTTTAGGAAGCTATGTGTTATTCATAAAATCATTATGTAATAGTCTTCATTTCAGAACTTCTTCCCTCAGCTGAGGCGTCCACAGAAGAGCAGACATCACCACTGACCCGCTTCGCCCCACCGATAGCCTGGTTAATTAGAGCAAAGCAGGGCCAAGAACTCTGTAGCGGCGCCAGCACGGTCTCCGAGCCCAAGGCAGGAGCCAAGCCCTGCTTGCCCAGAAGCGTGGGCTGTTGGCTCCAGACCCATTGACGGCAAGCTCTGGAGGAAGCCCACATGCCGCCAACTGGGTCCAGCCAAGGCCGGCACCGAAGCAGAAGCCTGGGCTTGCTTCCTGGACCATAATCAAGTCAAGGGCTTCTCCTACTCCACTTCCTCAGAGGCAGCAGTGACACCCCGTCTTCATTTAGAAGTGGATTAGTGGTGTTCAACCTATGCCAACCCCTGTGTATTGTTTCCAAATTCTGCCAGAATATTTCCATGGGTTCTCAATGCCAGTAGTTAACTTTTCATGGGTTTTCAGGTGAACAGCTTTCAAAAACACATTTATTCTCCACATTCCTTCAGGCAACACTCACTGAGCACCATCCTAGGCCGGCCATGGAGCCGAGCGAAAGGCTGACGCTCTGAGAAGTCACCGCGGGGCAGGGAGATGAGACAGGCCAAAGGTACAAGTGGAAACCCACATTCCACCTGTCTAAACATTGAGGTTATAAAGCAAGCTAAGAGACTATTAGAAGATGTTCTATCCTCCACTTAACAAATAAATGTACCTTCATAATGACCTGGAAAGTGGCCGCACTGAGAGTTGGCTTCTAGCCTGAGGCCCACCCTTCTCTGCTGCCCCCAGGCCTGTCCTGCTCTCTAAGAGCTGTGAGCTCTGCTCATACCCACATATGCACTTTCTGTCAGCACAGCCTGCTGACAGCCCCTCTTCCGGCTTGTGGCTACGAACCCCAGCAGTACAGTTCACCCTCACCCTCACAAAGAGGGGTCAAGGGAGGCAAACCAGACAGGCCTGGAAGTGGGCTGAGAGCTGTTTGGACCAGGAATTCCAGGCCCCCGGATACCTGAGGCATGGCCCCGGGAAGGGGGTCCAGGCTCCAGGTGGCACATTCCCTGCTGTGTAAGAGGAAGGTTAACTGGAAGAGGCCAAGCCCAGAGCAAAGGTGACCTTGTGCCTGAGTCTCAAGGTGGCACTGGGTTCATCACCTGTGTATACTGGCATCCTCTGAGAAGTCCCTAATCCCATTTGGCCTTCACTGGCCTCAGGCCAGAGACCCATGGAGGTCACTGCTATATCCTGCCTCCCTCCCAAACTTTCCAGCTGCCTCCGGTCTAGGGCCTCTTCCGTGCCACTTTCATGCTATTCTTGGGTGCTTGGGAAGGAACATTCTGTTGCTCTCACATAACTCTGGGCCGGGGAAGGCAACCTCACTGCTCCCCTGGCCCCACAAGCTCGTTCTCGGCTCACGTGCCACATCGAGGGCAGAAGGTGATGGCACTCAGGCAACCTGCCTAGACTGCCACACCGATGTTTCTTTCTCTTTGTCAACCTGCCTGACACAAGGTCACACCAACAGTGTCCTGAATGGATCTGAGTCCATCTGCCTCCTTGAGTATCTACAAGCAATCCTTTCCAGTCTTTTACCCTATGCCAGGCCTCAGCTTCTGAAACTCCAAAGTCAAGAGTTGGCTTCACTGTTCTCTGCTTGCGGCTCAGTCACCCTCTCCTGAAGAAATGAGTGCAGAAGGCCCAGCTGCCTGGGCAAAAGGAATGTCACAAGGCACCAGGAATTACAGAAAAAAAAAATCTGTCAGTACCTCAAAATATTGTCTCAAAAACTCCAATAAAATTATTGTGAGAAATGCTAACCTTTGTATGCAAATACAATTAAACTGACCCACTGTGCACAGGATATAAATGTTGAGTTTTTCTGGTAATGGGCATGGATTTGTTCTACTTCATCCATGGTTTCAGCCAGTGCACCTTGTGACTAGCACATGCATGGAAAGATGGCCATCTGGAATCAGGGGAAAGGACAAGCCCATGCAACAGGACAAATCAGTCCATCCTCATGCAGACATCATAATGGACTGTCCTTGCGACCTGAATTTTTTTTTTTTTACCACAGTGACCTCAGCTAATAAGACACAGGGCCTTTTCTTGTTTAGATCTTCAGATACAACATATAAGACAGCTTGTTCCTGTTACTAAAGAAATACATAAGTAAGTAAATAAACAGAAAGTCTTTGAACTGGAGTCATATTTAAACCTATAAAATTTCCTGAGTAGTCTTTGCTTGACAGTATTTCCTTTATTTTTCTTTCTCAATAGCACCCACTCATGATCGCAAATGCCTATTGACTGCAAAATCCAGAATACTGTAATTAGCTTTCCAACATTGATTTTATATTAAGGCACACAAATAATGTAGGGGATGTGAAATGCTATGTTTCTCTTGATTAGTGTCTTAAAATAACAGATGTAAGCAGCCACATGCTGATAGACATTTGCTCCAAGAGTACATTTAAAATCAGAGGCTGACATTCTCCTCTGAACAACCCAACCAGAAGCTCATTAGGACTTGTGTGAAAACCAGCATGTTTTTATGAATGTGGATCCTTCAGCTTCGCAGTGGTATTCCTGAAAGGCACTGGCAGCACATGAAAAGTTCTAATGAACATAAGTCCAAATATAGGGAAGGCACCACAGTAAAAATCAGTTTTATAGAAGACCTGTAGATTTAAGGAATGTAAGACCACACAAAATTCCACATCTTACGTAAATCAAATTCATCTTCAAATAAGTACATTTTCTTCAATCACTAAGTACAGGTAAACTGATCAATTTTAAACTCTTCTTATCATGAACTATAGTCGCTGAGCATAGAGTTTTAGTTACTGTAATATTCTGTACTAAATTCAACCCCGTGATTATTATATTTTCCAATACATTGTTGGGTTAGGTTATAAGTATTTTGTTTAGGAATTTTCCATCTGCTCTTATGAGTGAGATTAGTTTGTCATTTTCCCTTCTGGCCTTAGAATGAGTTGGGAAAGGGGCGCCTGGGTGGCTCAGTTGGTTAAGCATCTGTCTTCGGCTCAGGTCATGATCCCAAGGTCCTGGGATCAAGCCCTGCGTCTGGGCTCTCTGCTCAGTGGAGAGTTGCTTCTCCCTTTCCCTCTGCTGCTCCCCCTGTTTGTGCTCTCTCTCTCTGGCAAATAAATAAATAAAATCTTTTAAAAAAAATGAGCTGGGACATGTTTCATCATCTTCTGTAATACGAGGTAGTTTGTGTAAGATTAGTGTTGTGGGCTGAATTGTATCCCCCAAATTCATATTCAAACTCCCAGCACCTTGGAATAGGACTGTATCTGCAGACAGGACTTTTAGAGATGATTAAGTTAAAATGAGGCCCTTAGGGTAAGCTCTAATCCAATGTGACTGGTGCTCTTATTAGATGAGGAATCTGGACCCACAGAGAAGACCAGAGATGCTCACGCATAGAGGAAAGACCTTACAAGGACAAAGCAGGACAGCAGTCTTCTGCAAGCTGAGGAGAAGCCTTGGAAGAAACCAAACCTGCCAACGCCTTGACCTTGGACTTCTCCAGAACTGTGAGAAAATACATTTCTGTTGGTTAAGCCATCCAATCTGTGGCATTCTGTTACGGTAGCTCTAGCAAATGAATACAACTAAAATGACTTGTTCCTTGAATGCTGAGTTGAACTCACTAGTACAATCTTCAGGGTCTGGTGAAACATTCTGATCATTGATTCAAATTAGTTAATAATTATAGGATCTTCCAACTTTCTATTTCTTCTTGAGCCAGTTTTGGTAAGTTAAATTTTTAAGGAACATGTACATTAACTCCATTCTCAAGGTTAGAGATACCAGCTTTGCCTATAATAGCTTCTTACTCTTTTAATCTCTGTAATCCCTACAGGTGTGTTCCTTTCCCATTTCTAATATTGTTTATTTGTGCTTTTCTTCTCTCTCTTGTGGATATTTCCAGGTATGTCATTTCCATTAGGCTTTTCAAAGAACCAACTTTTGGCTTTGTTGATCCTTGCATATTTATTTTCTGTTTCATTAATTCTTACATTTATCTTTATTATTTCCTTCTTTCTGCTTTCTCTGGGTTGACTCCAAGAAAGCCTTACTCTGAGGATTGACATTTGGAACATCTAGTGTCAATTAGTGGTTTTCAAATTCTGCTCAGCAAGCTTTGCACCGTGGCAGTATCGTAGTCAATGAGGTTTATCCGAGGCGCGATTATTGCTAATTGAAAACTTTTCTCAAATTCTGCTCAGCAAGACCCTGGGATATTCTTTGGTGGTGTCTCAGAGATTTCCTGACTCCCACTGAGAAAGCTTAGCTGTTTTAATCTAAGCAAGTCTACTTTTGTCAGTTTTACGTGTGAGACTTCCATAAAGTTTGGGGGGGGGATGGTTGCATTCTCTGTTTTTAAATTTGAAGACTTCAGAGGGACTAAGCTAATGAGATCTGTTTCTCCCATATCATAACTTTTAGTACTTATAGATATACATATTTCTATTGACAACATAGTGAGTTACAAAGTACCAATTTATAGCTGGGGAAATTTGTCCACATCTGTCAATGCCAGAACCCTTCTAAACTGGGATTCTATAATTCTATCTACTTACATAAGATCGATGATCTTAAGTATAAAAGGTTTTAAAAGATCTTTCACTGCCGGTAATATTTAGAATTTGTGCTGAGTATTGGACTAATTTTTTTACTCTAAATAACCCTTCAGGTAGAGGTCCTACAAAGGATGAAAGAATAGGGTTTCTTAATTTCAAAACAGACAATTTTCTTGCTTTCAAATATCTCATTAATTTGTTGCATATGTCCCTGAAATAGTGTCCCAGCTTTTTTGTCAACAGACTCCAGACTTAATCTTTTAATTTCATCTTCCATGAGTTGCTGACAGGCTTTTGGTACAATTATTCCATTATAGGTCACTGCCATAAACTATTTCATGTTACTGAGAGATGAGTTAAGAGTAATGTCAGATTGGAGAAAAAATAATGTCAGATTGTATTTTTTAATATAAAACTCTAGATAACATAAATTCATCTGATATGGGCCTTTGATTCCATGGACAGAAATAATTTATGGACTTAGCTATATGATTTGACATAGATAGCCTAGAAATGTTTCTTTAATGTCTTATCATATATCATTGTCAAAAATTAAAGAGTGATTTCTTAGAAAAATAAATTAAAAACTCAAATGCTATAGACCAGGACTGAATCTTAGTTACAACTCCCCCCACCCTTTATACTTGTAGCTAAGTAATTTGATTTATAATTTAGAATAATTACAGGGCACCTGGTTGACTCAGTTGGAAGAACATGGGATGCTTGATCTCAGGGTCATGAGTTTGAGCCCACGTTGGGTGGAGAGATTCCTTATAAATAAATAAAATAATTTTTAAAAATTAGAATAATTATCGTGTCTTTCCTTCATGGCAAACAGATGATTATCTGTCTTCATGCATATGATGTGGGTTTCACAAACCAAGAACAGTAATGAGCTTAACCCACTAGCTAATTACTATCAGAAAAAAAAAAGTCTCAATAATAACACAAATCTCATTTGCTGACTTAGACAATCTTCGATGTTGTAACATATGGCGTTAACATCATTGAATATGGGCATACTTTCAGAACTTTTGAGAAAGACATATTTCAGCTAATGCTGCATGATGGACCCATGTCAGGTCTAACCACAATTAGACCTACCATGCTTCCTTTGAGCTGTGTGGCCAGTTGGTACTATTTACCCTTAAAATTACCCTGGATAGAAACTTCTCTTCCATTTTATATGATACAGAAGGCCCAGGTCTCTGGGGCCCCTGGGTGGCTTGGATGGTTAAGCATCCGCCTTCGGCTCAAGTCATGATCCCAGGGTCCTGGGATCGAGCCCCGCATCGGGCTCCCTGGTCAGAGGGGGTCCTGTTTCTCCCCCTCCCTCTGCTTCTCCCCCTGTTCATGTTCTCTCTCTCTCTCTCTCTATCTCTGTGTCTCAAATGAATAAATTAAAAAATAATAAAAAAATAAAGAAGGCCCAGGTCTCATCCAAGCACGTGATAATGTGTTTCCGAGGTTTATGTTTTGTTTTAAGGAAAAAGGAATCTGTCTCTTCCACGAATCGCTAGCAGCCCCAGCTTAAAATCCCCTGTTGCTGGGCTCACCAGCTCCCATTAAGCCTTCAGTACAACATTAATTTGCTGGCCAAATCTAACTGCAAAACAAATCACCTTCGAAGTCCCATTATCCACATCATTTTGAGAACAGAGTCACTCATGTAGTTTATTCACCCACGAACATTGTTTGAGCACCTATCAGGTGCCAAGCCCAGTGATAGCCAGGAAGATCCCTCCCTTCGAGAAGCTTGCTCTCTAGTTGGCTTCATCTTTTCAAAACCCTGTGTTCCCAAGACAACACCATCAGCCTCCTATATTGCTCCCTGAGCTACGGAGCCACGCCTGTGGTTTCCGGCTTGCTAGGCGCTCTGGCGACTCTGGTTCTGAATCCAGTTTCCCACTCCTTCGGCTCTAGGTTAACAGTGAACCTGCTTCCCTAGTTCTGATGTGTTGTCCTTGCCCTGTCTGGTATCTCAGCTTCCACTCTGATTAGAGATTTTGCCTTGGTTAAATCAATCTCACCCCAAGACGGAGAGTCAGTTCCAACCCCTTCCTAGCAGCCAGAATCCTGCTGCAATGGACAGACCTGCTTCCTAACAGTGACTCCTGAGCTGGGTCTCCAACGTCATCCCTCCCCCACATTCCCTCTCATGTTGGCGCAGGTGTGGTTCCCACCCTGCTGAGTCCCACTGTCAGTCCCTGCAGATCATTAAGACTATGATTCCCCTCACTGTTCAGGTCCAGTGCTGTGCCTGGTCCTGCTCATCAACTATGCGGTAATTGCTGATTAAATATCATGGTTTCCCCCAGAGCAGGACTTCAGTTTAATCCACATAATCCATGGCACTGAGGTCAGGAACTATGTCTTTAAAAAAATCTGTATCCATAGCACTTGGGAGTACTTGAAATGTAGTAAGTCTCAGATCCAAGAAACCCTTGTTGAATGAAAGAATGAAGTTGTACAGGCAGAAAGGAAACACTTTAGCTCTTGCTCTCACCATTAAGACATGCCTTCCAATTAAGACAGACGTGCCTTATGGCTCTGTTATTGCTCGATTTGATGGTATTCCTATTCTATAGACCTCTTTTCACAAGTATTTGCCAGATTGCCTGCCTCTGTGGGGGAGCAAAGTCAAACACATCATCGTGTCACTTAGCAACTTCAGGAGAAACCTCCGGAGTGTTAACCAGTGTTTTACCAACACTGAAAAGTGAGACAGGGATTGTGTCTTCTCTGTAGATGGTTCTGTGCAGACGACAACCTGAGAGAGCAGCAAGCATGTACCCCTGTAATCCAACCCGACGCGGTTTGACAAGCGCTTTCATTAACCAAATCACTGTTTAGTAGAAAATATTCCATCTTCTCAATTCATAGAGATGAAAGGATTGTGGAGGCATGTTCTTCATTGCTACTGTGAAATGTGCAATCATGCTGGAATCCCTGGTACGTAAGTGGCCTGTATGCTGGTTCTAACAGCATAAATAGTTGACACATAATTACATCCAAAAACAGGAACAGAAATTTACTAACTCCTAAACTCCCTGAGAACTTCTTACACCCAGAATAGAAAGATTCAGTATGGTGTTTCTAATTCAAGTAGGTGAATGTTGACTGCATTTTAAAGTGCATCAGAATCTGAATTTAAAGTCTATCTCGGCAAACTATTATTTATACATTTTTACATTTTTAGACTCTTATACTTAATTTTATACTTAAATTCTTTGTAGACTTTTCTCTTTCATTACAGCTGAATCCTCCAACAATATCTTGGCAAGACTTTGCCAAGTCTTGATGTATTCAAAAATACATCAAGTACCTATTTGAACAGAATGCTGAATACATCAAATATCTATTTGAACGGAATGAAATATTTTTGTGTAGCTAAATAATTTGGAGAGCTGAACACTGCCATTTTAACGAGCAGTTTTTGATCTTGCTCTTATCCCTTAATATTATATGGGGAACATAACCTCATGTCATTAAAACTGTTCATAAATGTAAATAATACTGTACAATTTCTATCATTTACTGGTTCACCGCCCTATTCTTGGGTAGGAAGACTGTTCTATTTTAACAACACTATGATGAGTAGCATTATATGTCCATATCTGATCATTCTTTAATAAAAAATTATAGAAATCAAATTGCTAAATAAAAGAGAATGAAAGGTTTTAAGGCTTTTGGGTAAACAGCCAAATTGTTTTCCTGGTCCCTGCCATGGAATCAAATTACCTGCCTCCTCTACTGCTGGTATCCATTGTCTATGTCGATAATTTGGAATCTGATTTTTTATTACTTATTTTCCTTCTGATTTCCTCTCCTTGTGACTTGTCTCTCGGTGTATTTTGTCATTCTGATTTGTAAGCTCATGTTCAGGTGAGCATTCATGGCAATCGCATGAAGCTTGGGCTGAGGTTCCATTTCCAGAAAGGACTGATTCTGGATTGTATGTAGCAGGAGCCCATGGTGCTCTGGTCCAGAACCACTTTAAGTTATTTGTTTGGCTTGGCATTTACAGGCCCAAACGAGTAACTGCATGAGGGTGGTTCTACGGTTATACATTTTTATGGGAGGTTTTTTTCCCAACCATAGCCTAGGAGGAAATAGGTAAGTTTCCTGGTGTCTCTTTAATGACAGATTTTTTTTTCTAGCTCTCCCTTTTACTAAGGGTGCAGCCCTTTATCCAGGGTTGATGTGACACCTAGCATTAAAACCCAAGGCCCTGGTGCCCATGCCCAGGAGGCTGCCTTACCATCTCCATGTCTGATTGCAGAAACAACTGGATTCATTGGAGGTGACTCAGCAGACAGCCAGATGAGGAGAGAATGGCCTGTTATACTCACCTTCATACCTCCCACCCCTATGTTCTAGGTTGATTAGAGATATCCACAGGGTTTATGCCATCGTTAATAGAGGGGAAACAGATGACCTTGTTCTCTGTCCACCTGCAGACTAGAAAACTTCACCCAAGGCCCTAGACTACTGATAAAAGTTGTCAGTGTCTTCCATGCCTGTTTATCACTCTGGTGTCCAACCCCATCTGGTTTTGGCCCCGAAGGTTTCCCCACATTTTTAAAAAAGATATTTCAGCTAGACATTTAAAGGGCTGTATTTCTATTTCTTACTCCGATTTATGGGTATTGTGTCGTGGGAGCATACTTCAGACTATCTAGTTGGTCATATTGCCAGAAGAG